GTCTCTGCTACCAGTGATCTCTCCAGTCGTCACAATATTTTCCAGTGCTTCTTTTCTAATCATATCACCAAAGAAGTTTGTCTCCTTCTCATTGTTGTAAATAATATTCTTCTGTCACATTCTGCATCTAGAAAATCATACATCTAACCCTGACAATGTAAACTGTATCCTTACAAGAGAAAAGCCATTTAGGATATTCCCGCCTTCATCAAGACAAAGCTGTAGGGCACACGGGAAGATTTGGACTGCACGATAACATTTATTCCAGAAGGACTGAAGAACGAACACGCTTTATTCTCTTACATAGCAGGTAATCTCATAACTATTTTTGCTGACCGGATCAGTTAAGTTAAACCTCAAACCTTAAAAACCATAGTTAAGTGTGAATCAGGTAATCAGATTTCAGTTTCCAAATTCTTAGCAAACGGGCCAGCACCTAATTGCTCCGCTCCTGCGGCAACGAAAACCACACATAATATCCATCACAACCCCTAATGAAAAAATTGACACAGACTGTATTCACAGCGATGCCAACAGCATAGACATGCAATAAATGCATAAGACAGCCACAATAAGTGCCAACACACGCAGTAAAGTAGAAATAGACACTTTTCAACGCCTTTTGGCGTATTGGGCATATAGTCCTATATCTTAAAGACCAACTGGCACTTGATTTATAATGTTGTCGGCATCACCTGACCCCACTGACTTCCAAGATCTCTACTTAAGACACTTTTAGGCTGGGTCGACATGGGAAAACACACAATCCAGCACTACAAGTGCAGTTCATCATGGGTGAGAGCAGTAGTTACAAAAGCTCAGCAGTCGCACAAACAATCAGTCGTATAAGTCACCACCAGTTCTGTGACAACAAGCTACTCGCCTTCAATCTGTTGAGGAAAACAGTCAAAACTGACCTCAGTGTCCCCGCAAATGTGATGACTGTCACAAGAGGATTGCTAGAAAAAAGCAGAAGCTGAAAAAAGACTATACATAACCTAGAAATCAGCAGCAGTTTGTCAGAAACACAAGTGAAGTGTGAAATCAAGTAAGCTGCCAATCTTTTACGGAACGTTGTGAGAACAATTCCAACATTTATTGGCTATTTTGTTTTACTAGGTGAGTCTACATTCATTAGCTCGCCATTACTTTCTAAGGGGTTGGTTTTACTAGACGAGTTTACCTTCATTAGTTCGTCATTACCTTCTGATGGTTTGGTTTTACTAGACGAGTTTACCTTCATTAGTTCGTCTTTACTTTCTGAGGGGTTGGTTTTACTAGACGAGTTTACCTTCATTAGTTCGTCATTACCTTCTGATGGGTTGGTTTTACTAGACGAGTTTACCTTCATTAGTTTGTTATTACCTTCTGATGGGTTGGTTTTACTAGACGAGTTTACCTTCATTAGTTCGCCATTACCTTTTGAGGGGTTGGTTTTACTAGACGAGTTTATCTTCATTAGTTCGTCATTACCTTCTGAGGAGTTGGTATTACTAGGCGAGTTTCCCTTCATTAGTTCGTCATTACCTTCTGAGTGGTTGGTTTTATTAGACGAGTTTACCTTCATTAGTTCGTTATTACCTTCTGATGGGTTGGTTTTACTAGACGAGTTTACCTTCATTAGTTCGTCATTACCTTCTGATGGGTTGGTTTTACTAGACGAGTTTACCTTCATTAGTTCGTCATTACCTTCTGAGGGGTTGGTTTTACTAGACGAGTTTACCTTCATTAGTTCGTCATTATCTTCTGAGTGGTTGGTTTTACTAGACGAGTTTACCTTCATTAGTTCGTCATTACCTTCTGAGTGGTTGGTTTTACTAGACGAGTTTACCTTCATTAGTTCGTCATTACCTTCTGAGTGGTTGATTTTACTAGACGAGTTTACCTTCATTAGTTCGTCATTACTTTCTGAGTGGTTGGTTTTACTAGACGAGTTTACCTTCATTAGTTCGTCATTACCTTCTGAGTGGTTGGTTTTACTAGACGAGTTTACCTTCATTAGTTCGTCATTACCTTCTGAGTGGTCAGCTTTCTATATTATTATTTCTCAAGGACTGAGAGATAGTAAACGACTCACATCCGTATGTAACTACAGGGAAGATGCATACTTTCAAAATTCTAATTTTCATCTCCTCGCTGGTGCTTAAAACCATAGACTTTTAAGGCTGTTCACTTTGCATTGCTATGGCCATCTTCCTTTTAATATCATTCAAACAGTCTTCATTACTGTTTATTTTAGAGCCTAGATATTTCAAAGTTTGTGACATTTTTTAATTTCTTCATCATTTATTCTTATTGGTCCCAGAGTAAGCGTTGAAAAAAAAAACAAAAAAAAAACAAAAACGTTTGTGTGTTTTTTTTTTTTTGTTGCATCAAAAAAGAGTGCTGAGAACACAAACCTGATAGACAAATCGTAAAACAATTTGGCATTTATTTTAAGGAACCATAACATCATTACGAAGCATCATATAATCCAAAACTGGATGGATGATGATGAATAAGGTTGTATAACTCTGTGATCTGCTCTTTTAACAGATTACAGACCTTCAACCAACGCACACGTCAAGCAGTTTCAGCAGTTGTCGTCTACTCCAGATTCACTCTACCACAACTCCTTCCACCCCTGCTTCACTGTACTCTCATTTTAATTGTTGCTGTTCCTAACACAACCCCCCCCCCCCACCCCGCCTCCCAACACCTTTTCTGCTGCGTTTTAGTCAAGCATGTAGTGCCTCTCCACCCCCAGACGCCCACGGGACACGGGTTAATTCTGAAACCTAGGGTGCCCTAATGTAAGTATTTTATTTGGTTGAATGGAGGCATCTGAGATTTTTCATCATTTAGATTTGCTCCTGGAAAACGGATCGTGGAATCAGTAATATACATATTCGAGGCTGTTCTCTGGAAGAGGAATAAAAATATATTTGATAGCAAAGCGAGACAGGTGCACTCTAAGACGAACTAATGACAGACTACGACTTGCTGACACGTTCAGACACCATCTTTTGGCTGTGCAGAACGGTGCCCACAAAACAATACTATTGCACGTTAATTCTGATAGTTAAGGCCCGGCCCCCGGCAAAGGCCAGGGTGGGGCTTCAAGTAACTAAACATTGCATTCCACATGGGGACGACGATTGTATAACAATAGGCTATATATTGCTGGCAGCTAAGGAAATCTGTCAGAGTTATTACCGTTACAATATGGGACACATTTTGTTGTTGTCATTCTTAAGCCCCACCCGGCATTCGTGGGCCCTAATATAACTGAACGGTTGAACGGGGTTTCTGTGACTTGCAATGGGGCGATTCTCATCCGAATGGTGTCACTTTGTGTCCCTTGGTGTTTATAGCTCGTTGTGCGGTCCTGGTGGGTTAGAACTTCGTTTATTCATTAAAGTCTTTCAATCTGAGGCCGAACAACAAAGTGGCTGTTACATAAAACATCATCATCATCATCCCGTAACACTACATGTCGTTGGGTCACCAGTTTATGTTGACTGTCTGATCAGCTCTCTCCACCTTTGGCGGTCAGTTGCGATCGACTTCATGGTTGCATGCCTGGGGCCCGTCCATCAGTCAGTTCTGTAACCAGTTCTTTCTTGGTCTGCCTCTTCTCCTCTTTCCCTCTACAGAGCCCTGCAGTATTGTTTTTGAGAGGCTGTTAGATCTTATTATATGATTGACGTATTTCTGATCTTATTACATGATCTGATCTCTGATCTTCATGTAATAAAATCAGAAATATATCAGCTAAGTAATTTCGTGTATCCCTGTCTAGACATGTAGTTTTGTTGATTCCTGTAATGTGCTGAGGTAGGCTCTGTAGCCGCAGTGTTCAAGTTCCGTATCTATAATGTTACATTGTGAAACTCGCTGTTCTACATTTCGTTTGGTTTTAATTAATTTTCATGAACAAATCACAGATACCAGGTTTAATCTCATAAGATCATTTGAATTAGTTTACTGATATTTAAAGGGTACTTTAATGTCTTGGTTTGGAAAAGCCTATACTTTTTTCTTTATTAGTTCCAGCGAAAAAGCATAACACTTTTGTTCTTTATTCCAGGGTCGGTCTAACCCAGCACTAAATTTTGTTCCGTGGAATTTGGTTAACGTTTGTTTGGCACCTCTGCGTCTTTCCAGACGGCAGTGTTATTATACTATGTTAAGAAGAAGCTTTTAGCTCGTCTAGAATTGGCTAAATTCTCTCTCTAAAATGTAGGCTACTGTTTCTTTCATACGGATTGAGTCTTTCTTTTCCTCGCAATCACACGATAACAAAGGCAATGTTTTGCTACAAAATAATAACTATCTCGTAATAAATATTTTTGCAGGATACAGAATAGCTCAAACAAACGCAGCGTTTTACAGAAGAATTAAAGGAGATATGTTCCTGTGACTTGGCATCAGCAAATGCTGAGCATGTGCATCAGCACCGTGAACTGTATGCTAACAGAGATACAGTCTGACCTACTCAAACCTCAATGAAGACAAAGTATTGTTCACAGGAAGATTAAGACTGTACTACAGATTTAATAAAAGCCTCTTATACAAATTTTCCTGAAAAAGATTTTCTGGGGGGAAAAAATGACACCACCAGTGCATCTTTGCTAAATGAGATGGACAAGAGAACCTTAAAGAAATAGCCAATTCCGATATACAGAAGGGAAAAATGAACAGTCACAGTTTAGTTAAAAATTAGACAGATCTGCAGACAAACTTTGGGAGCACTATGGACAGCTAAAAAATTAATGATGTTTCCTTGAAAGAAATTACTTCAAGAGAAAAAACCTAATATATCGACATCAGAAGGAGACAGTCTACATTCTCTATTGCTAAAAATGGAAGAAGAACAACAATTGAATACAACGAGTTAACGGGGATGTCAGAGAGGATACTACACATATAAAATGACTGAAAATAAACGAGATGGAAATCTTGTAAAATGGCATGAATTAAAAGCAAAAGAAGAGAATAAAATAGTAATAAAGCAGAACTTAACCAACAAGATCCTGATAAAAGTAACACACAACAGGGGTAGACAACTTCATCCTAGTCTCCATAGTGGTAGCAGTATAAGCATCGCACCGCTGCAGAAATTCAGTTGCGCACTGGATGCTGAGTTTTCTTCCATAGCAGGAGATCTCTTGGCTGCTTCTGCTGATCAGATCGGTTAAGGTCCAGTGTGAGTTGATACAGGATTGTACCTGCGACATGTTGCGGGAATACTCAGCTAAGCATTCAAAACTGATCTTCGGGTCCCCACAACTGACTTGGCTGTCTCGAACGGATTGTTCAAAAGATGTAGCAGAGAGGTCATCTGAAATAGAGCAAGGAATTGTTTTAAAATGAGCTGTTCATTTTTCAGTCGGAGAAAGCCGGTGTAGAACTGTTACCGGCCTGCCTGACGGGGGTCATAAGCTCGAATCCCAGTCGAGGCCACTTTACTGGGAACTAAAAACTTCCTTTGCGATGTTAAACATTTCATTTATTGCCAGAATGTGGCCTAGGGACGTGGTGTGCACCGCATCACCCACCAAGTGCCGACATGTCCATAAAATATATGTCTAGCCCTATATGCCCAATAGTCTGAAGGTGTGGAAAAGGGTCGTATACTTCACTTACTTTACTATGTGGCTTAGGCGTTGCGAACGCGTTATGTGATTCCGAGATATCCTGGTTCGTAACCAGCTTAGAGGCGATTTGACAGCTAATCGCTTTGCACTGATTTCGTCAATGGTATCGAGTTCAGTGGCAAACTACTGAAGGTAAACTTGCCTCGTAATATCTGCGTTATGTCACTACAACCCGACAGCCAGAAAGTCATTCTCACGTGTGTGCGCATGTGTGTATTTATCCACACGCGCAGCCCCCTCCCCCACAGCCCTCACAGGGTACTAGAGTACAGCTCCAAGCCAGACTAGTTTTGGTGTGATTAACATTTCTTAGCCAACATAATTGGCACAAAGAAACCAGACTACAGTTATAACCGATACTGCTCACAGTAGGTTGAACGTGGTCAGTTTTTCCGTTTTGTTTTACATAAATGGACGGACGGATGAATACTGAAGGTGGTTATGCGCCGTTCTGTAAAAGATAGGCAACTAACTTTATCGCGCGCCAATTAGTCCCTAATACGTGTGAAATTTGTGCAATACGCATGACTCAGTAGAAATAAAATCTTTCAGATTTACAGCACGTAGGCATGTTTAAAAACAATAAAGAGTGCCGTATTGGTTTGGTTTTCTTGCTGGGTAGATAGTTGGTTGGGCGGGTAATTTGAGTGGCCCGTTTATTTATTTTCTGTTGTTGTTGAGTAAATGGTTGTTTGAATTGGGGTGTGGGATGGTGGTACCGGGGGAAAAAAGCAAGGAAACAAAAGGGGGAAAAAAGGGGGAAAAGGGGGGGGGGGGGGGGGGGTCACTGGTTATTTAATTAATTTAAGTGGTTTTTGATAAACAGTGTTTTTTTTTTGTTGTTGTTCAGGTTCAGTTACAGATGTGAAATTGGTGTGTGTTCCGGGGCCCCACTGTGAGGGAAAACCAGAATAGATCCACTGCCTCCCCAACAAGAATGCCACGAGTCGAATAATCAGGAGCTTCTTTCTAAGTCAGAGGGTATCTGCCCGAGCGGCAAGGAACACCCAAATGCACACAGATAAAGCAACGCATTGTTCAATGTATTGTTTGTGTCCACATTATTTATGTTCACATTGCTTTTAATAGTGGAGTGGGCCGAGATCAGGAGTAACGTTTTAATGTTTCCTACGTGGGTGTTAGGTTTCTCATTTTTTGCATGCACCAGTCTGATGCCTGAATGTATAGAGACCTCAGGTTACTAGTGTTTACTGATCTGAAATGTTGTTTACTGATCTGAAGATGTTGTTTACTGACCTGAAGATGTTGTTTACTGACCTGGCGATGTTGTTTACTGACCTGGCGATGTTTTTTACTGACATGAAAATGGTGTTTACTGATCTGAAGATGTTGTTTACTGACCTGAAGATGTTGTTTACTGACCTGGCGATGTTTTTTACTGACCTGAAGATGTTGCTTACTGACCTAAAGATGTTGCTTACTGACCTGCAGATGTTGTTTACCGACCTTAAGATGTTGTTTACTGACCTGAAGATGTTGTTTACTGACCTGAAGATGTTGTTTACTGACCTGAAGATGTTGTTTACTGAAATGATGATGTTGTTTACTGACCTTAAGATGTTGTTTACTGACCTGAAGATGTTGTTTACTGACCTGAAGATGTTGCTTACTGACCTGAAGATGTTGTTTACTGACCTTAAGATGTTGTTTACTGACCTGAAGATGTTGTTTACTGACCTGAAGATGTTTTTTACTGACCTGAAGATGTTGTTTACTGACCTGAAGATGTTGTTTACTGACCTGAAGATGTTGCTTACTGACCTGAAGATGTTGCTTACTGACCTGAAAATGTTGTTTACTGACCTGAAGATGTTGTTTACTGACCTGAAGATGTTGTTTACTGACCTGAAGATGTTGTTTACTGACCTAAAGATGTTGTTTACTGACCTGAAGATGTTGTTTACTGACCTGAAGATGTTGTTTACTGACCTGAAGATGTTGCTTACTGACCTGAAGATGTTGTTTACTGACCTGAAGATGTTGTTTACTGACCTGAAGATGTTGTTTACTGACCTGAAGATGTTGTTTACTGACCTGAAGATATTGACGCAGTGACATTACGGATACATTGGGAGGCTTGTTGGTATTTTTCTGAATTATTGCAAGCGTCTCTGAGGTCCTAGAGAAGCATAGACACAAGACCTATTATTGGTAACAAACACAGACACAAGATTTCCCTTATTAATAGCAAACACAGACACAAGATATCCAGCTGTTGTTAATAGTTAGTTAGTTAGTGAGTTAGTCGACAGATTTTCATCGTTGTACGAAAAAATATCCAGTCAATAAGTGCTCAGATCCCCTCTTCAGTATCTCCCTCAGCGTGTTGTGGTTTACGCCACCAGTTCTGTGTTGGTTAACTATTTTTCCTTGGGCCTCTGTGTAGGGCTCACCACTTTTGATGTTATGTTCTTGTGGTCTCGTCAGTATGGCAGATTCACAATCATTACTTGATTCGTTTAATTTAGCTCTCTCTCTCTGAGGGCATTCACTATGTCAACCCTGTCCATTTACCACGTGAGCATCACTTGCAAGTCTGTCATCTCGTTTATTGCCCAGAAGACACCAGAACAAATATAAAGCTGATTTTTGCCAGCCTAGATTTATTCAGGACTCCACCCATTGTCTTCGTCTGCAATTCTTCTCAATCTTCTTGATCATATTCATTGAGTAGGTGAGAAAGTATGCCCGGTTGAAAGTCCTTGTTTCTAGAAAGGCTATTGCTTTAGTTTCTGCCATGACCTCCACAGTCAAACTGCTTGTCGTCAAGGCGAAGGCACCGCAGTCTTGTTTGAAAGTTCTCCCGCCTACCAGAGCCGTAAATGCCCACGAGCTCCTGACATTTCAAATGACAGACCAGTCTGTGTAGATGATCACATCACTCGTCAGAAAAATTCTCACGTATCAAGGCCTGCACTTCTGCTTGCACAATTTCTGGGTTTTGTCATCTGAATACTCTGTTTAGCTTGATGCATACTTCAAAGGACGTATGACACTGGTGGCACACGTACCCATTCTTCCCCAAGTTCTGTGTTCTCATGAGGACAAACCTCTTGTATATACCTTAGGCCTGACCTATCCATTATTTTCATCTCTTTAATCTGCTGAATTTTCTTTTCCTGATTTCACTATGCCGTGGGTGTTGTGTGTCGGCACTGGCTTGGAGGTAGGCGTTTGCTCGACAGATCCTTATTTTTGCTTCCATTGTTGGAAAACCGAGGTGGTATCGCATTGCTCTGCTTGCTGTATCTTTAGTGCACCCAAGTATAATGCGCGTGGCCTCTTTTTGTGTTTGTTCCAGTCTCTCAAACTGAGTCTGGCTAAGAGCAAGGAACGCCAGGACAAACTTGATCACCGAAAGGACCAGATCTTGAAAAAAAAAAAGACAGAGATGTCGGTGTACGCAGTTTGCTGCCTCAATGACCCTCATAGCTGCCAAACCTCTCCTACCCTTCGCTACCACATGGTTTATGTTCCCAGTAAAAGCCAGACTGCGATCAAAAAGAACTAGCAGGTAATAAATACATTGCAGGGGCTCTTTCCACTTTCGAGCATAAATTTAGAATTGGTGTTGGAGTATTGATGATACGGTTGTTTAGCGAGAACCATGTCACAGCTGCCTTCGCAGTTATGATTATGCAGTCAAGTTCAGACTGAAGTTCCTCTGCAACCTCATTCCAGTCTTTGCCCTGACGGTACACCAAAACGTTATCAGCATTTGGTAATGTCCTCTCTCGTTCCGTGATTCTCACAGTGTAGGCATTGATAGTTGATAGGAGTGAAACTTGTGCGAGGCCATGATGTACTGTTGTGGGTTCAGAGACCCAGCTGGCCACTTAGATACTATCTTTCCTTGTAGAAGGGCTGCAAAGATCCATTGGAGGAGGAAAGGACTGATATCTAGAGATTTTTTTTGTTTAAAGAGAAAGCTTGTTTAAACATGAGCGTCCTTGTGTCTGTGCTTATTTATTACATATTTAACATTATTATTAAAATATTGTTAACCGGCAAACAACAGCGCTCCGGGTCCAGATGGTATACGAAACGAAGATGTGGTCAAATGTTCAGAAAAGTAGCTAGTGGTATTGCAGCTGTTTACAACAACAGCGTTAAGAGCGGAATATTCAAGGAAGAGTGGTAACAGCTACTTAATACCTCTGCCGAAGCCTGAAGACCACACCAAGATCCAGGGATATAGAGTAATAACAATGCAGAAAACTATAGGTAAGATAGTGGAAGATTATTGCCAAAAAATATCCTGTCTGCACGAAAGGCAGAGTGCTGTTCCGCCTACCCTTTGGTGGCTGCGTCCCCAACAGAGAAACTTGGAGTAATGCTGCTGTTTTTTGCCCCCGACGTACATGCGGGGTTTCATTCAGGCATTGAAACACCGTGTGATGTGAAAAGTTATTGTCACTTATTCTAGGCCACGAGATAGAAGGTGAAGTGATCAGTTCACTGCCTCGTCGTCTTTGATTCTCAGACAAAATTATCCTGCACCAATCGGTATGTGGCTGCGTCCCACCACAAAGCTGTACTGGTTTGCAAAGGATGCTAATCGTATACTACCACGATTCCCACTTACACAGTAACTGAGTATAAAACGTCAGACAGAACTTACATATTTGTGTCCTTTGATCACTCACCTGCGCCGTGGTCATGTTATTTTGGAATCTGATGTACTCGGCGCTCACGCCGTAAGTGTCCAGACATTTGGCATATGCAGCATAGAGGTCATCAGTGGACATCGTCGGTGAAACTGTCACATTGGCGGAGCCGTGGCCCACTCCACAGACAAGTAGACCTGTCAGGTAGTGAGACATCGTTCAGAGAAGTTAAAAAAGACGACCCGGAAAAGGGGGGGGGGGGGGGGATTGATATGAAGCTCTTTACTTAATGTATCTCGATTTTCCTATGTAAATTGCGGGGCTCAATTTTGGAAAACACAGACAGGACCCTCTGCCCTCTTGAAAGCATGTCCTAGCAGGCGACTAATTAGACGTGTTTCCTTCAAAGTCGGAGTATATCTGCCTGAGAAACTAGAAACCAAAAGTTTACATACGAATAAGCCAGATCTGTAAAACGCATGCGCACCCAAAATTCAGACTGTGGATCAAGACCAAAGGGCGGGAGTGGACTAAGAACCAAAAGTTTTCTTGGAGTTTATAGCTGATGAGAATCAGAAGTGCGCTGATTGGTCTACTGTAATATTTTAGGCTACCACCGTGTTGGTCGAGGATAGTAGGATAGTGACGAAACGTTTGCTTGCCGACACAGGTCAAGGTTTCAAATCCACATCGAGGCGGGTGTTTTCAAAACTAACCTTGGCTGACAGGTCAACCTCGCCTAAAATGGGTACCTGCACTGACTCTCCTCCCCTGCTTTTCCACTTTTCAGTAATGAATGAACCAAGAGCTGACATCGGTGCACTCGGGACATTCCTACACGTGCTTCTTCTTCAGTAGCCAACGAATAGGCAACATGCTAACAGTGCTAGTTGCAAGCTGATTGAAAGTTCGGTGTTGAATATATTCCAAGTCCTCTGCCCCCCCCCTCCCAACCCCCCCCCCCCTAAACCTTTCCCCTGCCGAATTAGTCTATTAACTTATAGGCACTCGGTCTGTTCTGCTAAGCTTGATCCTAGAGAGCCTTTACCACATCCTCTTTGTCATAAAGTAGCTTACCACGCAGAGGAGCGGAATCAGCCAATCTACCATTCTGTACATTATCCTGCACCTATTGCAATACTACAGGGTTCAGAGCTGCACAAACCCCGTTGTTTGACGTTCATAGAGGACCGCTGTAAAATAGTTAACGATCCGGGGACAGACCTCCTTGTCCATAAGTGAGTATAGTAAAACATCATATCTAACACTGTCAGTGCATCTTCTGGGAGCCGTCATTGTGTAGCGGCTAGACACTCGCCTGTGCATCTGAAGTTCGTGGTTCTAATCCGAACAAAGGATTTTTTAAAAAAAAGAACTCGGCTCCCAGTTCGCCAGCCTTGAATGTGTACCAGACGAAGTTATGGGAAGTAAAGGCGTTCGGCGTTGTTGACCACATCGCCTATCTAGCACCGATTGGTCTATACAAAATAGATCTAGCCCTATATGCCTATTACGCCATAAAGTGTGGAAAACTGTCCATTATATGCATCTTCTAGATACAGTGCCGCCGTCACTGCTTCATGCTTATTCAAAAACGCCTAATGTACTTCATAAGCCAGGATCGCGGCATTTGCCCAAGTGTTTTCCCCCTTGGTCGGTAAATCCCTCACCTTTTAAGTAGGAGTCGATATTTCTCTAGGTATTCCTGTAATTTCACTACTCAGCAAAAAGATATGTTTAAAACAATGTTTCCACATTTTTTCTTCAGACATTTATTGTTAACAGGCAATTGTCGCTTAGTCTCATAACGTCATATCTTAATTATACAGGAATTCCGTAGAATATATATATATATATATATATATATATATATATATATATATATATATATATATATATATATATAATACACACACACATACCAACGAAGAAAACGAATAAACAAACAAACACATCAAAACAAACCTTACCTATAGCTAGAAAATAATTCATGATTATCTTTCTGGTGACGTGAACCGTTACAAAACATAATGGTGTCTTATATACAGACCGATTCCGTTCATGAACGTACAAGAAAAAAAATTGAATGTTAATATAATTCTGATAGGGTAAGCAGTGACTGAGGTCGTGACTCGAATTTGACCAAATGTTAAAAACCCATGAACTGACCAGATTTCGTTACTGGCGGGAAGTTAAATATGTTATGATTCAACTCTTTATGCGTTCCTTGGTACCGAAGTATTAAAGTAATTATAGTGAAGTAAAGGACCCTTCGTGTTACGCGACAACACATGATAAAGATGCATCTGTTAAGGAAGAATTCTACATGCAGCTTTAAAATATTATAAATAATGAAAGAAAGAGAAATTAAAATATTTCGATGGGTGACCTGAATGCTAAGATAGGATCAGACAACACAGTTTATGAAGAACTAGAATGTCTTTGCATAGGAAATTACAGGGGCATAGAAATAAAGAAAGGCCAAAAAGCACACGGAGAAGAGAGCTGGAGAAGGAAGTTAGGAAAGATGGGGTTGACATAGGGAGAGCTCCATGTAATGGCGAAGGATAGAACGACTTGGCGTGAGTTGGTTGAGGGCCTATGCTCCATTGGGAGATAGAAAGGCAGAAGAAGAAAGGACCCTTCTTTCACCAGTAGCATATTGGGTATATGATGCTGGAGTTACTTTATAGAGCTAAATCTACTTCAGCTCGTTAGACACCTTTACCGTAGTTGTGTGAGGATATTTATCGCGACAGTGTATGAAAAGCAAGCATCAAACATGACTTCTCCTTATGATCCCGAACGCTTGAAATTGTTGGCCGATATTTGACCTCCTTGTCACACAGAATTGGCGGTCAGCTATCTGAAATTTGCCTGTCACACGCTAGCACATTCATTCGTCATACATCTAAAATGTTGCTGTAAAGCTGTAGGACACGTTACTAGCGGACATTTGAGCACAGGCAGCATTTCAGATAGACTTTCGGTCGACAGAAGTTTGAACCACAGTTTAGTAGGATAATTAGCCAGAAGGTTTATCTCATATTCCAAATGAGTTTATCACAGATGTTTTGGGGACTATGGGAATTAGAGGATTTTTGGACACTGCTTCTTTAGGTGTCACCAACTCCGATATTCCCTCCCAGCTCGGTTCAGGCCGGTACAGCCACTGTCCTTGGTTGAGTGCAGACCCGTCATCACGGCACTCGGGACATTCGCATACGCGCGTCTTTCTTCTCTTCAGCAGTCATCGAGGAGTTTTAATTCCGATGGTGCCAGTAGCAATTTCTCTAATTATATATTTCTCTTGCTTTTCCTATGTGTGTAGATAACAAGAATCATTAGTCAATAACAAAGGGATAACGCTTTATAAATGATTATTTCGAATCAAAGGCTTTAAACTAATCAGCGCAAACCACCCCTTCCCTCCCCCCCCCACACACACACACACACTCACAGTGGGCAGCAGGTTACCTTGAAATCGTGGGATGTCTAGTGTAAAAGTTATACTGGTAAATTGAGATTCTTTATGTTGCCTTTGTTGAATATTGCCTCTTTGAGTTATCGGCTGTTCATATTTCAGAATGCCCACCAGAAGAAAAAAAAATGTACACAACAGTTAATCTCCAAACATTTAAACTAAGGCAAAAATTATGAAAAAAGATGAAATTGTGTTTCTAAGTGCGTCTGTGCTTGTGTACGTGTGTGTGCGCACGTGTGTAATTATGTTTTTATTATAACTCCATGAGCTAAATCACACATACAGATGTAGTATCCCATACAGACATACTTATGTGTTTGCTTTACGTGCATTGTACCCGAGGTTACAGACCCTAAGTAGGATCGAACCAACAACATGAACCAATGATTCGGGTTTCAGTATTGACGTATCTCCTGCTGAAATGACAGTTACAGTTACAGCTGCTCAAACCCGGTCTCTGGTCTTGAGAATAAGACTATATAATCAAGTGAGACGTGGAGGTCTTATGTCTCTTGCTGTCGATTTTGGTGAACTCGTTTCTTTAAACAAACATCATGAACTACATCATAGTGATAGGTGAGTTTGTTTCTTCTTTCATAAACTCAAATGTTATCTCCGTCTGATTTCCATGTCACCATGGATGAATGATGAATCAAGAATTGGCATCCCTGTGTTCAGGACATTCCCAGACGTGCTGCATCTCTCTCCTCAGCAGGCAGCGAAGTGTTAATGTGCTTATAGTACCAGTTGCAACTGATTAAAAGTTCATCTCTTTCCGTCAGTGTTAAACTCACTAGCTGATCGGCCATGTTGAAATCCAACAAAACTATAAATGGTGTTCCTAAAGGACTTTGTGTAGTAAATAGCTCTGACTCTTGCCAGATACGCCTGCCAAAAATAGAAGGGGACAGTTTCGCGCTCACAGCGGAGGACAAAAAGGGCAAGATAATAAGGTGATAAGATCGGACGGAGAAAGACCCAGGAGGAAAAACAAGAACAAAACAAAACTTTGGGACAAAGACATGAAAGAGCGGCATAGCAATGAGGATAGGAACACAAGGCTACAGAGCTGGCTCACACACCATAATATTAGCCACGCAAGTGGCCTAAAAAAAAAACCAGACGACAAATATAACCGAAGACTGTTGTATTTATACAGATGTCTATTCCTACACAGGAAAACTCCATGAAGTGTCAAGGAAGTAGATAAATGATTGCGTTGGTATTACTTTGAGTGGCGAGGCGAGTAATGCCGACAGGACACCAGATGTCCAGAAAGCCGTCAATCCAAGAGGTCAGGTGAAATACAATCCAAGCTGTCTGTGGGCCAATAGCAAGAACACGCCCGTCCCAGAAAACCTTTTATAGTACGTTATAATCCACATATTTCACAAAAATACTGACACATACATAAACAATATTTAAAATGTAAAAAATGTTACTGTAAGCCTAAAAGAGCAAAGGTCACAATGACTTGCAAACCGCATGAGAAGCGGGAGAGGGGGGGGGGGAGGGTGGTGATGGTAGACCCGATTCTCCTTAAAAAGTGATGTGCCATCTGCACAATGAAGGTTGGCTACAGTGTACCACTGCTCTCTTTGGGAATATTACTTGGTGAGGCACCAATCTCTTCCACCGTGCTACTCTTATACTATTGTCGGAAAACCACAAGAAAGAATTTTTTCCGTCCACCGGGGGAACGAACCACAGTAC